TCCACACTTAATACTTCAGGATCGGTAGGAGAGCTTGGTACACGCTCCCTCATATCAAGTACTTGAACTTTCCATATCGTGGCTGAGGCGTATCCCTTTCTGCAATACAGCACGCTATATGAGTTGGGTGGAATCATGCGAGGTTCAACGGGCCTGTCTCAGCCAGAGAAGAGGTTTACGGGTCTAGCTGTGGCATTCAAGGGAGATGCTAGCTTTTGATGCTGATTTGTGGCTGCAGTCTCAACCGTCCCGTGATAAGACCGCCCTGTGGCTACTGTGGAGTCGTTACGAAGCCTTATTGTTGGATTATCTTGACAAAAAATGACGAATTTGCCCAGCTTAGGTTTGCTATGTTGGCCAAATCTAACTGACGCACCTAACTAAGCCTTGAAGATCAGGAGGTTGGAGTGGGTCAACGACCAGTCCAGGTGCATCCTTAAACGGAGTGAAGATGCACAGGCTGAAAGCCACTTCCGTGTCCAGGGGAAGAAAACACGAGACTGAAGTTTGGTAAATCGGTGGATTTCGGTGTAAGACAGTTTCATCTCGTGTACCCCCCCCCAAGGCGTATCACAAACGCTTACAGTAGGCATTTTGTTTTATTTTATTCTATTTTTGCAATAATACACTGCTCAATGTTGTACAGCGGATGACTGTAATGAATGCCAACCAACTAGGACACTTGCAGAATGCCGCGGTAGTAAAAATTGCTCAGGCTCGATTGAAGGGGTTCGTAAAGGAGAACCTGTCATGACAGGTTTGCGGCTGGCTGGGCACATCTGTCGGAAACGATATCCCTCCATTAAAGACTGGTCATTTTCGCACTGATTGGTGAAGGGCCGAGGTGTAGACACGAGGAGTGGAGAAGGAAAAAGCAACATGAAGTTGAAAGCTAAGGCAAGGTAGGTAAGGAGGTAGGATATTGTATACAATCTTGCAATTTAGCTATCCGCATCAAGACCATGCATGCATCTATCCAGCTGATAGCGTTGGTGGATAAAGCAAAAGTAAAGTGTGATTCGGCTGTTATACGCTATACGCGCAAAGCTTACCCAGTAGAAGCCCGGACGGACGTTGAGAGACCTAATATTTAGTACTTTTCAGCTGGGTCGGAGATCAGCTCCTAAATCTGTCAAGTCTCTGGCGGTGAGTCGTTTGGAAAAGCGACCAGCGGAAAACCGATGTATAACACCAAGTCCGGCGTTTTTGGCATTCAGAGTATGGTTTAAGCTATAGTTTTGTTGATTACTGATCTTGTCTGGATGTTCTAAATCAGGCCCAAGAGAGGTGAACAGGTATCAGTTCTTATGGAGATCGATCGACTCCGGAAGTGGCGCATGCAGCTGCGTATGTCTGTAGATTTTGTTTCGAATACGCCAATTGTTTGGTCTCTCGCGGGCCGACGTCATGGGAGATAACCCATGCTAATAAGTCGTGTCGAGGTGACTGCGGCCCGGCCATTAAGGGACTCATAGGCATAAGAAAGGAAGCGAACCATAGAAAACAGGACAGGTAAAAAGAAAAGCACTGAAAAGAAGAAACGAACGCAACTGAATTTCACCGCGAAAGCCAATATACTTTTCATCCCACCCCCCTTGGAAGCGAATCGATCGTGGCTTGCCTGGGGGTACTACGGCGATCGTAGCCAACGAGAAGTGTTTTGATAAACACCTTACATAGCTTGGGGTATCTTGGTGGAGGTTGAGAAATTAAAACATTTTGAATATACCGTTGGTGCATTGTAGGGTAAGGATTTTACTCTATAATCTATGTAACCGTTAATGGTGTCAGCGCCGAGGCTGCTGGTCTATTAAAAAGCAATTCCCCGCTGGAACTATCGTTCGAGCACAACTTGTGACTTGGTGAATGGCTTGATTATCTTCAAAGGTAGCATCCTCAGCTCGGTTAGCGAGGGCAATGCCGCTCACTGTTACGAAAATCGGTACCTGTGCGTTACCAACGGGAATAGCCAAATCAGCACAGGGCAAGGAATGGAGAATGGAGATCTCATACTAAAATTGAGTTTGAGTTCAAGATTAGAGAAGCCGAGATGAGATCGATTCTCAATCGAGGACGATTGGAGGAGGGGTCAAGTTAGATGCTGAAGACGAGGGGCTGCAGCAAGCAGGGGGAGATGCATCTTTGACTGCGCAGTTTTCAAGGTCACCCCTGCCATAATAACCCGCCAGCACCGTGCACAAACTCAACAGTTTATGGGTGCCGTCCTTGAGCTGTTAACATAGGTACCTAGGAGGTAGGAAATATCCGACATTCCCTTTCTTTCTCCCAAGGAAGCCTTGCTCATTCATGAGTCGTGAAAAACCCAAACTGTGTGCTTAGGGCCATCGTTTGAGTCAATGCGTTGAATACCAGCCGTGACATGAAGCTGAGTTTACATAGGCTAGCCCAACTTAGTAATAATGGCTGTGTGTAGTGGGGGGCCGCTCACACCAACGATGACAGGACCACGATATTGGTATGTCACTGGAAGGGTTCTAGAGCTTCTTAAGAACTGCATGAGCCAAAAGCCACTGGGGTGCTTTTTCATGAACACTACTCGTGGATAGTAGCTACGGTATTCTGTACTTGGAACATTTCTCGCATTTATACTATTTTCTTAGGAGCCATGAGACCAGCGCTGGGTGACTTACACTCAGTGAGCCTTCGTTGGACAAGAAGGGAGATCTTCGACTAGGTGGGCTTGCTGCAGGATGATATGTTTAAGGCATGTCGTATTTCACCTATTCGAAGAGTGATAGATCAGTAAGAACTGCAGCCTTACCTTTCAAAAACCATAAATAGACTCCGAATCTGCACAAACTTCTTCAGCTCCAAGTGAGGTATGATGAGGTACATACCTGCCGAACAAACAGCCGAGATAAGCAGCTCCCATCTGTACTGTAACCATATCTATGGCTGGTTGGCAGGCACGCAGCGGCACTTGGCGGCTCAGATGCCGATCAGATCCAACCTACAGTATGCAATGCAGGACAAGGCAGGGCAAGACCAAACCTGGTAGGCAACTGGCCAATCGCAACATCAGCCTTCCCATCCATCTCGTCTTCAAGAGAAGGAGAAACCATCCACCTCGACAACAACCTCCTCGACAAGCATCAAGGATGATTGATTGGATTGGTATCCTGAAATGTCGAATCCTACTATGGGTTCTGTTGCTTCTTGGAAGACTGAGCCTGAGACTAATTAAGGGACCTGGACCTGGATTATCCGCAGGTTCGTGAACCCCACTGCCCCTGTTACTCTTCACTACATCTCACGCCGGTCTGTCAAGACCCCAACTAATGGTCCGCCCTCTGTTTGGCTCGGCTTGTCTACGAGCGTGCACGAGCCGAGACCATGACGTGAGATTTATATGGCACGCATATGGCGACGAACAACTCGTATAGCTGAGGACCAAACCTTCTTGCCAAGACGCTTCTCGACTTGACACTTGGAGTAATAACACATAGTCTACGCAAACTTTCGAACGTTTTCTCTGGCACCAAGCGTGCCTACAAACCCAATGATTTTCGGCTCAGGATCCATCAAGCTAAAGATTCTCTCACAGGAAGAGGCAAGTGGAGCACAAAGCAATACCTTGAAAGAATCCGTGCAGAACTGTGGACGCGCCTACCCCTCTACAATTTTACGCCGGCTCCAGCTGGTCGGTGAGATAGCTTGACGCGCTGGAGATCGTTCCAACTTCCAAGGGGAGGTGGGCGTTGAGCCGGCCCTGGCGCGGCATCCGATGGATGGGTGCGGTTGCTTCGAGTTGAACTTACAAATTGAATGAGGGTCCATCATTCCAGAGCCCTGGTGCCCGCCAAGTCCTGGGGTTGGTCGGTGGTCCGTGGTGGTGGATTGATGGTGGGTGCGCGCTACTGGGGGGCTTAGATCGCGTTCTTAGGGAAATTTCCCATGGGATCTTCAGATTTACCACCTTTGCATAGCGCACAGACTCTGTGCGAATCTTCTCATGTTGTTCGTCCACTCGGCCCAGCTTAACAGGCCAGCCAGGTATGCCCTAGGGTGTCCCTACCTGAGAGCCAAGCCAAGCGGCTTGAACAAATCCCCTCGACTGGATCATAATTCATATGTTAGCAAGTCAGCACCGTGGGTTCCTTGTCATCGTGACCCTCTTGAAGACGAGCAGTCACAACTTTGCTTTTCTCTGTCAACGCCAGTCCATCACACCCCCCATACCGTGGCCAATTAGATGCTCAACCGCCGGCCCGGTCTATATCTCCTTGCCCGCTAAAAAAAGAGCATTTCTCTCACATTGCCAGTTCAATTCGGTTTTCAGCCCGGTCGAAAGAGTCACTTTTGCGAACTGTTGTCAACGAGAACAGATACCGTAATACAGGAGCAGAGAAAAACAACGCTGTCTTGGACTTTTTTGTTCTACAGTGTCTTCTTTTGGTTACTGACCGAATGCAGTGCATATTTGGTCCCTGTAACCAGCAGCAACTTGAGGTTCAGGGACAGACCAAAAGAAAAGATCCAAACAAAGAAGACCCCGCCTCCATCGATATGGCCCACAGTCCTTCTCAAGGGCGGCGCCACGCACCTCCCTGGCAAGTAATGACAGCTTGAAGTCTCGCAGTAAGTCGATATGACAGGTCTGATGCCACCACCGCTGGGCCCCAGCATGCCCACCAAGACTACGGTCGGTTGTACACGCTACTGATCATCGAATGAATGGGAGCATCATCCTGGTGCCAGGGCATTGCGCACCTGTCTTGTCCTTGAGCAATACCCATACTTTGTTCTTCGACCCCTTGTTTGTAGTCTTCCTGGGCCTCCTCAGTCCATTTACACACTATTACTAGTCCTCGAAAACCATAAATCCCATCCAACCCCCACAACTTCAACAGCTCGTGCCGTTCCAAGCTTTACGATACAGTGCTCGTGACTTTATCTTTATTATTATATTACCTGCCCCCCCCAGAACCATTACTTGTCTTGCATCAACCTGCCGACTCAAGTAAGAGAAGACCTCCATTATGGCCCTACATCAAGATATCCTACCCATACCCTCGCCCTCCATGCTGTACCATGGAGGCCAGTATCAAAACTCAGCCTCGTCGATGCATCCTGAACCAGAATGTCAGGCTGCAATCAAAAAGTCGAACTCTGCTGGCGGAACCACTGAATCGCCATGGTTCTTGTGCAGTGCCTTCAGATCTCAGAAAGTCCCTGGCACTCGATGTCCTACCTGTGCCTTAGCTGGCAAAGAAGTTTGGGTAATTCCTGGTCGCTGCTGCGGATACTGCGGTACTCCTTGTGTCGACTAGATTTATCCGAGGGTTAAGGTGAGTTTCATGAACACCTCAAATGAATATTTAACTAATTAATCCAGTTTCGGCTGCCTCTCTCCTGGTTTAAAACTTGCCCAAAAGCACAATGCCAAGATGTGGTTGAGCATTTCCCGCCAGCTGCGAACCACAGGACTGTGGATCTCAAGTGTCAGCTGAACATGACATGAGATGTCCCCAAGTACCTTTTTTTCGTTAGTATGGATAGGCAAGAAAGTCTATTCCGACTAGAGGGATCTGCGACAAGTCAAGAGTGACACTTGTTGCAGCTCTTCAGTCAGCTCATGTCGTGAAGTGGAAGGCTCCACGACCTCTGATTGGCACAGCGGCACTCGGACCTATTCTTACGTCGTCGTCGAACATGTCCTAGAATGCCAGGGCCCAGGGGTATGATTCGGGTCTTCAGAGCAGTTTTCTGCCACTCCCCACTGGCTTAATGGGCACCTTCATCAACCCGTGTTCGTGCGTGTTGATCAAGCACGAATCACGGCAATCTCCGAGTCCTGCTTAAAATTGATATATGATGGAAGGGCAAGACTCACGGGTTGAAATCAAGGGATTACCACAGGCCAGCGCAGCCCAACCAGGATGCCGGGAGTGACTCGCATCAGCCACCTTGTCACTTCGCTGAATCTCAGGGGGGAGCCGCACGAGGTGCATCAGATAATCGAGAATCATTTACTGATCACCTTGACTGGGGACCAGGATCAATTGCATAGCTCAGTCAATATCTTGCTACGCGACGGATTTGACACGGCACTGGAGCAAGAGCCAGGCGAAATGGATCGTCAAATTTTATAATCAATGTAGTTTCATAATATTCTAGCTTTTTGGGCAAAGTAAAAAGTAGAAAAAGGACTGATATATGATTGCTCACTTTGGTATCCCTGCCCTTGGGTGGTTAGTGACCTAACGCAATTGTAAGACAACGGAAAATACATATCGCCATTGTGTGATCGCCTACTTCACTAACCCATCTCAGCGAATTCTAGTCTTGGCAATGAGGTGAAAATGATGCTGAGACACTAGGGTTCTGGACTTTCTTCCTTACGCTGAATGGAGAGAAGTCTTCATCAAGTGGCTTGAGTGACACAACGAGGGCTCCTGAGACACCTTTGACAGGTACAATACGTACTGACCTACCCGACCCGTTGGCACGGGCTTATCCTCTTAGCGAGATGGCAGCTGCTACTCTTAACGAAGGGAGTCACTTCAGCTGTCAAAGTTTGAGGGTGATGCAAGGGGTAGCGAAAAAAAACTCCCCTGATCAACCACCTCATGTTCATGTAAGTGAGATGGAGGAATGCAGTCGTCCTGGGTGGAAAGCCCAGTGTTGTGTTATTCTGACTTTTTGTCCAACAATTCGCTCTCACCGTGATAATGTGATTAAATACGTGGTTTAAGACACTGCGGACTCGGCCCCGGTTCCGACTACTGGATTCCATATTGGTTCCGTTATGGCCGGCCGTTGAATTGCCCCGGCTCCGGAAAGTGGGACTCGATATGCTCAGCTCCTGATGGTGAAATTGAATTGCCGTAACTCGCTGGACAGCCGCGACCCCCACCAGAGTCCATTAACGCTTGCCGCCCATCTCCCGCCCCCGCCCCCTCTCTTCCGAACCACAACGGCATTGGATTGTCTCGCGATCCCCTCAACTGTCAGTCAGCAACCCCTGCTGCCTTGGCTCAAGCGACTGGTTACTTCTCTCAGCCCGCGTCCGGTTAACTAACCCCCCCGCGGCCAGAACGGCACAGCCCGGCTTGGCTTGGCTTTGTCTGAGGTGACGGCTTCGAATCCAATGGCGGCCACGGAGCAGAATGGCATCGACATTCTTTGCGATGCCGCCGGCTCAGACATGCTGCTGTCGTCCCTCTTCTCCCTCGCAGCGCCTGTGTCCATAGCTGATGCGAATCAACGGGCCCAGCCACCCTTGCAGCAGGAACAGAATGAATTGCAGCATTCACTGGCCCCCGCGTCGCCCTCGAAGCATCAAATCTTCCAGCAGCATCTCGATCCCGCACTGCAACAACACCAAGGGGAAACACCCCAAAGAACTGCCTCTACATTACCTGCCAAGAGAAAGCTTTCTGATGCGTCCGCCTCGTCGCCGTCTCACGTCTGCCATATCTGCCGTCGCGTCTACGAGCGTGCCGACCACCTGACCAGACACCTCAGGTCGCACGAGAATGCCCGGCCGTACCAATGCACCCGATGTCCCAAGCGTTTCAATCGCGCTGACCTCTTGACACGGCATGAGACTACCCACGATCGAGATGGGGCCGCAAAAGACCGCCCGTTCATCAGAAGAAGCGACCGAGCCGCTGAGGCATGTCTCAATTGCGCTGCTTCCAAGGCGAAATGTGAAGATCAGAAACCGTGCAGCCGCTGCCGTAGTAAGAGTTTGACATGTCAGATGCCAGTGAGACGTGGGAACCAATACCGGACATCTGAGTCGCAGGCTGGTATGTCACCCTCGGACAGTTCAATGGTTGCTTCAACTAGCGGCAACGACAGCCAGGTCTTTGCGGCCGGTGAAGCTACCTATGCTTTGCCCCAATCGGCTATTGTTCATCATGGCCACGCCGTCGATGCTGCCGTCGATTACACCGTCACCTCTTTTCTCGGCGCGCCCAGACTTGAGGATTCACCTGTGGACTCTTTGTTCTTCGCCTCGACGCAAAGCATGTTTCCGGAGATTGGGTTCTCTTGGGATGTAGATTTTGGTTCGCTCAAGATCCCAGGCTTAGATGTGACCGGACGAAGTTCTCAGTCTGGCAATGGAGCAAAACGCCCATCCCGTCAAGGTCGTAAAGATACTGTCCCGGTGGACGCACCCCTTCAGCGTTCAGTATGGTTACATGAGCCCGAGGCCAATGGTCAGGCAGGGAGCTCAGTGTCTTGCTCCAATATTGTTTCATCCTACTTACGCGACAGCATGTTCGCCATGGTTCTCGCCAACAATCCGACACCACATCGAGTACCAACATTTCCATCAGCTGAGTTATTGCGCTATATGGTCGAGACGTACTTTAAAAGCGAAGACCCCAGAAGTGAGGCTTTTATCCATAGATCGTCTTTCGATCCCTCGGCAACTAGCCAAGAGCTTTTCTCTGCCGTTGTCTCAAGTGGAGCTTCATACATATCTACTCCGGCTATATGGCAATTCGGTCTTGCTCTTGATGAGCTTACGGCAAGTGTCATTAGGAAACGTGTAAGTGTGGACCATGGTGTAGTGATAGTTAGCCAGAGATAGTGGCAAAAGGTAGACCACCTGCTGACTGCCAACAGCTTGAATCCTCGTGCATGGCCTCGCGAGATATCACACTTCTTCAAGCGTCTGTCCTCCACCTTGAAACTGGTCAATGGAGTGGCTTCAATCGTCAGACAGAGGTGGCAGAAAGCTTTGCACCTCAGCTTTTGACTGTAAGTCTATTGTGAATACGAGTTCGGCTGGCAGGCTAATCCCGAATAGCTGCTTCGAAAAACTGGGAAGATGAGCTTCACGTCAGACTTGACTACACATACGCCCAACGCCGGCGACTCTTCTGAGACACTTGAGTCGAAATGGCAAAGATTTACAACAATCGAATCTTACAAAAGGTTGCTTACATTACCATGCCGAAGTCGCTAGCATACTGACTAGAGTACAGGTTGGCCATCCGTGCATTTCTCCATGATATGCAGACATCGATCGTGTCGTGGAAGGGACCTACGTTAGCATACAGCCAGCTCGACTTTGCACTTCCGGCGGCCCGTGATCTCTGGAAAGCTAGTAGTTCACAGGTATGGTGGGACTTGAACTTGGCCAAGGGACCTTTCCCCCCTACTGGTTTCCCTCGCCTTTCCGACGTGAGAGACTGCCAATTTGTCATGACTGAACAGAACACGTGGGTGGACACAGAGTTTTGCTGCAAAGCTGCTTTGCATGGGCTGTGGGGACAAATTTGGACCTACCGTAACGCTGTCGTCCACTGTCATCACGCAGCTCCAGACCGGCCGGGATCTGATGTTCCTGAATGGGCCCGCTCTCTTTACCAAGAGCTCTATGAGGGCCTTCGCAAGCTGTCAAATCAGCTCCAGTCTGCACAGACCCCAAAGCATGAGCTATCGCTTCTTTCAGACTTTTTCATGATGATCATACATGTCTCGTTGGACGACGTACAGCGGCTGACCGGCAGGAAGGGTGAGGAGGAATCCCGGAGAGCTATGCAGTTATTGGAGAGCACTTGGCTACCTGAACCAGAGTCCCGGTATGCTGCCTGGCATGCTGGACAGGTCCTCCGACATGCACAGGAGTGTATACCAACAACCCTGCAAGGATTTAACGCTATGGTTGTTTACCTTGCTAGTCTGACGCTGTGGGCGTATGGTCTGCTTTCGCAGCGAACAGCGAACTGCCATGAAGGGGTGGGACAAGAATTCTTGTCACTTAATGAACCAGAGACGAGGGAGACGGCAATGTTCCTTGAGCTCGGCCAGGGCACTCCATCACTTTCATCTCCAGAAGGGCTACGTCTTCAGTTAGAGCCTTTGTCGAACTACGTGGCAGTTTTGTCTCTGGCAAGGCTCACCTTTCGACAAAACTACCCTGTAGCAAGTGAGGCAATGCCTCCGCTTGTTGAAAGCTTGTGTCGACATCTTGGTGATCTCCAAGGCGGGTTTGAGGGGCACGTGGCAATGAAAACGTTATAGACAGCGCCTTTTCTTAGAAAGCCCATTGTGTGCGGATTGCGGTATTTACAACAAAAGTGATTTTGTAGTTTTCATTTATAGCAAGTCAGCGAAGGAGTTGGCAGGAAGGCAAAAAGGGAACATAAAACGGCAAGGGCCCAGCATTGGATGAAGAGATCTATGGTGATGGATTCATCAAAATGGAAGGGCTTATAAACGCGGTATAGGGCTAATTGAGTGTGTAGTTGACTGCTTCTGTTGTCCTATTTGACTTTGGCTAGGGATGTGTTCAGTCAAGAAAGGACAAAGAAAGTAACGATAGTAGGTAATTGTCCTCTACCTGTACTGGCATCTAACCATGACAGCACAAATAGTTCAGTCAATGCTACCAACAATGAAATTGACTGCCAAGCCCACAAGTCTAGTGTATTGCCAAAGTGGTTTTTGTTCTCGACTAAAGTCATAGTCAAACACCCCCATCATTGCTAAAGAGGCTGGTGTTGTTGGACTGAGTGGTGTATTTTCGCTTACTAGACACCTAGTCGTAGTATAGCCTGATTAGCATTCATGCTCTATGCATAGCGCAGGATCTAGAACAGTTCTGTGCCTGGAATAGAAGGAGCAAAGCGACGAAACTGGTACTCCTTTCGTCCATGTCATGTTCATTACAGCGATAAGGTTAAATAGCTGACCACTCAGAGCTGGGTGAATCTGGGGTAATCCCTGAGCCGACTGGTCTGCCGTGCACCGAGGCTTCAGCTCCATTGGACCACGCAGATGGAAAATAATTGTCCCACCAATATCGCCTCACAGGTTACCGGCTGTTTCGGCCCTATGTGCCCTTTCTTGGTTGAAGTTGGAGATTCATTTGACAGGCCGGCTCGTGGGGGGCGGGGTAGGTTCTGGAGTCAAGTTGTTCTATATCAAAAGCTACGTAAGTCGGAGATATCGCCAAGTACTAGATATTACTCCTCGACCAAAAATGAGCGAGCCTGGGAGGAAGAGGAGAGCAATTCTCTGTCAGCTTTAAAGCACATCATATCCAAGCAGAGCAACTCGTCAGAAACTATCAGTTAATTCCGTTCTTGCGGCATAAATAACGGAAAAACTCGGGCTCAGGTGCGGAAACGAAACTCCATGATCCCAAGTACTTGCTTCGAAGAAATAATGAAAGATGATTGGTTAGTGTCTGTTAGAGAGCAACCTCCAACATGGGATCCATATGTGGGCGGGGATAACCCTTGAGCCGCCCCCGCGTTTGGCCCGCATGAAACCGCCTCGTGCATTGTCTTCGTTAAATACTACTCAACTATCCAATTCGGGGCATTGCTTACCTTAACACTGCCCTCATTGTGGTTCTCCAAGCTATCACAAGATCATATATGAATTCGAGGCTTGTCTGTCGAGCTCTCACCTTTTCTTCCAGCTGTATCCCCCCAAACTCCGCACAAGTCTCGTATCATATCAACACCATATCCCGACCTTGTACTCAAATTTCTACCGTCAAGATGGCCAACCGCGTGCACCGAATTACCATGTTCAAGCTGCCTAGCAAGGACGAACAGGCCAAGCTTCTGGACCAGTACCACAAGCTCAATGCCTCTCAGCAAAAGGTGAGTCGCCTCCAGTTGTACCTCTGTTTATACACATCTGATCATCTCTTCAAGGACGGCAAGCCCTATATCCTCTCCATGGTTGTTGGTGCCGCCGACGAGGATGCTCGGTCTCAGGGATATACCTTTGTCTCCAAGACTGAGTTCGCTAGCATGGATGACATGAAGTATTATGATGAGGGCTGCCAGGCTCACCAAGCTCTCAAGGACTTTGTCAAGGGCTCGCTCAACCCTCAGGGAGTTATGACCGTTTACTTCAAACCTCAGGCTGTTGGTGGTGCCGATCACACTTCCTGAACAGGGAATTACGAAATATACCAAACAGTTACCTTCATATATGTCGATGCCGTGAAGGGTTTCGCAAAGTGGTATATTTATGTCCCCAACATATTGATCCGTGAACCAGGCCGTGAGCATGTCATTCTGCTGTTGGTGGTAGTAAGACTACAGAAACAAGCCATGCCAGACCATCAACATAATTGGTAATTTTATCTGTTTTAAAGCATCAAGGCATCACTTTTGAGTACTCCAGAGAAAAAAGCAAAAGCTTTGTTTTCCAGACTCTGGTCACTCGCCATGAACGGTACGCAATTAGATCACGATACTGGCCCCTCAATCCCATCAGCCATTAAAGCCGACTGTGAAGAAAGCGCCTCCTTTACATTTCGAGCACCATCCATTTCTCTTTCACCTATTAAGCAATGTTCCATTGGGGGTACTGTAGACAACAAGCTACGCAGTTCGTACAAAGAGACTTGAGAAGCATTTTCACCGAAATAGAACACTACATCACTTATCACCTGCATTTTGCTCGTCGTCTGTACTATTACCACCAAAGAAGTCATTGTACGTGTAGAACCTGAGTACAACTCATACTATAGGACGATAGAAACAGCATTTAGGAACAAAGACTATTGCAAAGACAACCAGTATCCTCTCCTGAAGAATCTGCGAAAGAACTATAGTCATTCACACAAGAACAAGTGCTGTCAGTCCTTAGGGGTCCTCAGAATGAGCTTAAAGTAATACAGGAAACCCAGACGTCCCAGACAAAAGTGCCAACTGTCCATCTGAGGAGTTTTGCGCGAGTTTGACCTAAAAGAGGTGTTTATTCCGAACCAAGAATTCAGGAACTACACAGAAGACCGTCAACACGTACAAAACCAAGTGTCAATATTGAGAGAGGTCTGCGGGCGAGGGATCAGGTACAGTTTATATGTTGAAGATTTTAGAAGTCTCGTTGAGAAAAAGATGAAATGGTCGTCAATTGCCTTATAAGTTATCTTGGTATGCTAGAACATAACACGAGTACTGAAAAGAGAAGCAATAGTACACACATCTTGCATGTTTTCTGCCAGATCTTGGCACTCAACTGTGACTACAGTCGTGCTCGTCACACGACATCTTCCAGAGTAAGAATTGCCATAAAATCTCCTCACGATGAACAATTGTCTTTGACGGCTTAGGTTCAATAGAAGTGAGACCACAATAGATACCATTTGAGACAAATAGCTTGAGACTTCTCCAACGCCCCTGTTTCTCTTGACTCTCAAAACAGACTCTATTTGCGACACCAAACCGTCTCAAAGAGGGCTCACGATGTTATCACGAGGCCTCTCAAAGAAATACCGCTTGCGGACTTTTGTGCATGACCGACTGGCCGAGGAGCAACACCGAGTTTGTAGTACAGTAGAAATTTCTGTCGGCGTCTCTACAGTCAGTTGATTTAGCGTTGTGCTCTATGCAAGGTTGGGCCACCAGAGTAGTACAGGGAATTGATTTGCTTATGAATCACCAGGAGTAACCGAGAATTGCCTTGGGATGCCTTGATCTTCAGGTACCGAGACCGGAAGCACCCAATTCGCAGTCCTCTCAGTGGCAAACTTCGAGGCCAGGGCTTTATCGACATCTTTGCAGTTGAGCAGTTGAGTGTAAAATTTAGTTATCAGCTGACTAACCACCGAATATTTTTCATTGCTGTTGTATTCAAAGAATATCGTCATCTGAAAACCTATGTTACCAGAGCCCGTACATATGCTACCGTACGCCGCGATAATCAGAATATTTCAGCACCCATATACGAGAAGACACCCAAGGCTGTGAGCTAACGCCAAATATGCCACCCAAAACCAACTTGTTCACATCAGGATCGATCTCTTTGGGATCGAATGTAGTGGTGCACGATAAACTAAAATGATGATGCGAGCCAATCTCAAACAGAACGGTGTATACTGGTTATATCCGTCATCTCTGTCGCGGATTCACTGCCTCTTCTGGAAGAGAACTGATCCTTAGGGAATGCCGTCAACCTTTCCAGGGGCGCAGGGTTTCTTTCCAGTGAGAAAAGAGATAAGGCTACCATGACTGCACAGACAAGCATCAAGACCTTGATTTCCTCAGCAAACGCATTGGCATAAACATCCCTGACCAGGTCTCGCAGATTCCCCGGCAGTTGTAGACTTGTCAGTGGTGATCGGTGGAGACTTGAAAGTTGAGCGGATGTCAAATGGTCCTGGAGATATTCGTTGACGTGGGAGTTGAAAATGACAGTGCAAACCGCCAGACCAATGCAACCGCCCAAGACACGCGCCTGCGCTACAGCACCTTGCGCTGAGGCGAGCTCACTCCGTTCAGCGGCGAGTATACTGGTCATAATAGTTGCGGCAGAGAAAGAAAGACCGACGCCGAGCCCGAAAATTGCTTGGAAGGCATACTGGGCTTTACTATGTGAGTCTGGCCCAGTCAACATTGACATTAGACCGACTCCAAGAAGTTGTAGACACGATGCCCCTAGAAGGGTCAGGGAAGTGTTGTTTCTCCGGCTCGAAATGGCACCCCCGAGAAATGAGCCAATTGCGCAAGCACCAAGCATGGGAAGGATATGCAAACCTGCCGTTAGGACTTCTTCACGACTGACAATTTGAAATCTTTCCGGAATGACGATCGAAAGTGAGATATAAGGAAAGCCGGTGAATAACGTAACCCTGATTGATGTCAATTGCGATCGTAGGCCAACCTTTGTTATTCAACTTACAGTAATCCAGCAGAGTATACTCTTCGAAGCATTAATCGAATCGGGAAAATTGGCTCGATGTTGCGCAATGGCCCTGTCTCCAAGTGTACTTCCCACCACACAAACACGAGCCAGCTCACGCCTGAAATGACCAAAGCAGAGATAATCTCTGGGCTCCCCCAAGCGAACGTGTCTGAGCCAGCTTGCTGAACAGCGAACACAAGAAAGCCAGAACTGGTAAGAAGAGTTGCGCTCCCGAGGAAATCAATGCTGGTGAAAGCCTTCCATGAGAAGAAGTGTGCTACTTCTTCGTGCGGCCAGAGATTTGTAATTGTGAGGATCGCAGCCAAGCCGAATGGGATGCTGACGTCGTCAGTAATGCTTCAAGCATGTACCAGAACACTTACTTCATGTTGAACAACCACCTCCAGTCTGAAAGCTGAGAAACTGCACCGCCGATGATGGGGCCCAGTACGAAGGCGACAGCGAGGGTAGCACCAATCATAGCCCCTATCAGGCTGGGACGGTGGGAAGGCCCAACCTCTACCAGGCCGATCTGTGTTAAGCTGTACAGACCAGATGCACCCATTCCTTGGAACGCACGGCATACGATCCTAGAAGGTGTCAGCTTGAGAACAGAGTAGAGAGCAGGCGGCATACAAAGCTGTCATACTAGTTGCCGATCCACAGCCCTGTGAGAAACCAACAAAAATGACCCATGATACCACGAGTATGTTGCGCCGTCCATATATGTCACTCAATTTGGATACACAGACGGCGAATCCTGTTGCATTCTGTCAAAACTTGTTCTCTTGATCCACGATCTTTCAAGGGACTCACCCATGTATGTGAGGAGGTACGCTAGAACTATCCAAGGGGCGTTTGTGAAATCGTCAAGGTCATGCGAGATGGTGACGAGCGAAGTCGAGACGATGGAAGTGTCGAGGCTCGAAAAGAGTAGTCCAGCCAACAACCTGAACATGCCAATTAGCAAGTACCCTATGCCAAGGTAATAACTCCCTTACGAGATGACAAGAACTACTCGTCGAGGCCCAGTGATCGAATGTTTGCGCAGTCCGACAACCTCCGTTGTTATTGAAGCATTCTCTTCCAAGCCATCCTCCATCACTGCTACTTGACCTAGGGATGGGTTTGGATAGGAGAGAGACATCCGGTATTCGTTGGCCATCTTTGCTATTGATCTTTTCTCGTCAGTTCAAATAAGTTTGGTGCAATTTCTTGAAAGCGTTTGATTGTTATATAAGATAGATTCGTATCCGATTTCGAAGCTGAAGAGTCGATCCAAACAATCAGAGGGTTGGTAGGGAGGATAAGGTAAGTAACAGTGTAGCCAGGTAAAGGCTTGGGGCGTCAGTTGAGAATTCCCCAAGTGAAGGCGCGGCCTCCTATCTTGATAAAGCAGGAACCTTCGATTTTGGTAAGTTCCCCTCCAGGAAAGAAATGACACTCGTAAATTTGAGGTACGTTAATCTGTCGATATTCAAAGATCTTCAGTTGTATCAGATTGGAAAGGTTGGAGCTTTTCATATCGAGTTGATCTGCAGAAAATCCGGAGGCAAAGAGACAACACACCTGACTTTGAACATAATACTCTTGAAATATTCATAACACTTGGTAACTATCTTGCCGGAGAAGGCGAAGGACCGAATTAATATTTGAGACATGGTCCTGAAACGTTACACGACTACAAGCGAAGAGGCCACTCAATACCGTCGCCAACCTCAAACATCTGCACCGAAGAAAACAACCCAAAAGCTTTTCCAACTGCGGAGTAGATGAGATATTTTCTTACAGTGACACGGTTCTAGGAGTAGTGGCTATGACGGGTGCTGTGCTATCCAGGGCATTGCTCCCATGTTAAACATGGTTGTCATGACCCACTGATTGGTGATACAGGTGAGAAGAAGCTTTGAGAGCAGGAATCTGATATCAAAGAAATGTCCAAAGTGAAGAATTACAGATAGACCTTTGTGTGAGCCGTGTCTGCGTGACTTTGTACATTGGGTGAGTTGATACAAAGCAAACTGGAGGACATTGTCACCAGCTTTGTTTGCTCTATCTATAACAGGAAATTCTCTAGCCGCCGCTTTATAATCTAAGCGAAGAAGCCTCTGCAACACTGTAGGATCCCGCCTGTGTGGTCGTTGCACATGGCATGGCTCTCCGCTCGTGGCTGGACCAGACTTTTGGCTACCTAAACGATCAAGCGCTGTCTGGGTTTTGAACTCGCTGATGTTATTTGGAGTGGGCACTACAGAAACCCAAAGCTCAGCCAGGAATCGTATGTGGGAATAATTAGTTGTTCATGATATATTTACCGGAACTCATGTGTAAGAGTGCTAGCGTTGTGTTCATGAATTTAGGTTGTTCAGTCCTAGCTGAGCCCCTCTCACTTGCACAAGAACCTCAGACAAGACGTTTCTTGCGAACAAATCTGAGTATCAGATAAGAACCTAAGGTAGAGAGAAACATCCGGTAATGGTGGTAGGTATGTCAAAGCGTCTTGGCTGGTGGGTAGCTGCGTTGTACGGTTGAGCCTTTAGGTAGCTGGACAGCCAAACGGCGCTCGCCTGGCGCTACCTGTGTGACTTTGTTCTACACTCTTGCCAGATAATCGGATGATTCAGGAGCACGATGGCTTGATGGTGAGAAATATGTTCAAGACACTGTGTTCGGCTAATGGTTCTGGGACGGATAGCCCGTCTTGAAATTGACGAGCCGTTCCACGTGATTATATTGAAGTATGGTAGTCTCCCGCAACTTAAACTCTACTCGGAAATTGCGACAAACGATATGTCAAGAGCCTATCATCTTTTTGTTTCCATTTTGGGGACGCGCCCATCTGACATAGTGCGGACCCTACTTCGGGAGGCTATCAACGGCTATTCCCCAGTCGGTCTTCCATGGATGGCATTGCATGCCTCATGTAGCCGTTGCAGAACAGCAAGCTTCCCGTATGCAATAACGGGACACCCAATCGATTTTCGTTGGCTGATCTTGCCTATCTGTTCTGTGTGTGTCGGCTTTTCACACGCATGCCATCTTGCACAGCTTAACACATCCGAAGTAGTTGAATGGGTGGGATGGTTTAGGTATTTGCAGAGCTATGCTGTCAGGTATACAGCTACGTTACTTTCGAACTACCTTCGCGAGAGATGTTTTGTTCACCGCTGAAGCCCAGATGACAAAAGGATGACTATTTGAGCTAGGCTTGCGGCGAACTCTCCCCTTGGACGATGGACCAGAACGCGGGCCTGCTACCACCCACGAGTATCATTATTTAGTCATGAAAAAGCTCGTAAGTATTAATCTCATCGTCCGTAATCATTTGCAGCCTGGTGCTGTGTGAAAAATTCTCTATCATAATGGCAGTATGGATACATGGCAATATCATCGTAGGAGTTGCCCTTCCTTACAACTTGTTCGCATTACCCCTGTTTCCATATGCTTCGAAACCCAATGAACACTAAGCTGGGTCACATTTTCATGGATTTCGGCGCCACACTATATTCTTCTAAGTCTTGAACGTTCGATCTGGAAGAATTCTTGATTATGCATCACATCCGTTCCTTTCACATATACAGCTCTAGATGTGCCCCGTCCAGCACCAGAACAAAGCTTGACAGGCAAGGTGGCGGGCCAAAGAAGTCACATTTTGCTGAAAGAAGCACAACGTTCATCTGAAATGGCGGTAAAGCTTCTAGGCCGATTTGAAATAATTACGATGCCTTCTAGACTTGGCGGAATATTGCAGCAAGCCTCCATCCAGAGCAAGCTGCCGTCGACAGAAGATCTTGGCAATCAGTTTTCCCACCAGCATAAGATTCTACATAAAGAACAGCAGTATGATCAGCTTTGATCTAAGCCTTCCTGTAGTTCTTGGCATCAAGAAGATGCCTTCAAATGGATCACACCGACTCTAACACGGGCAGTCCTAAGTCATGGGGCGTAAAGCATCAATGACGGCATCGGCCCTATTTACTTCTTGAAACATAGTTCAACAAGACGATTATATAGGCCCGGTTGCTATGGTTCGAGCTCCATGGGAAGAGTCAAATATGAACTCCCGCCCCCTTTCTTTCATTCCGCACAAACATAAGGATAAATAACATCTAGTTATTATCGTCAAAAGAATCTTTTGAACCTAATTATTCTCAAATTATTCCTTATCTCTCATCTCTTTATTACCATCCGAGTGAAGTTTAGACAAGGCCTCATTATCTGTCTGCCAGTGCCAAGTACCTACCGCCGCGACTTCTCGCCCTAACTCTGAACTCTTTACCAATTCTTGGCATTCCGTGCACTGGCAGTGTATTCTACCTTATAGCACTGGCAGTTCTTCAGTCAGTGACTCACTACCTAGGGTATCCAGTCATTCTCATAATCCCAGATTCTCATAATCGACCTGCTGAACTTGCCTTTCCTTTCTTCTTCTACCAGAGCCACTCTTGCTACCAACGACACTCTTACCGCTGCGTCCCATCTTGCTTTATTCTGGATATTTCAGAAAGAGAGATAGAGGATAAACTAACCGTTATTTCTTGCCGTCTTTTTTCTTTCTTTTTGGAGGTGTACTTTGGGCGTCATGGAGGACGACATCGCCATCGTAGGCATTGGTCTACGATTCCCTGGCGATGCCTCCTCTCCAGAAGAACTATGGAAAGTTCTGGAGCGTGGGGAATCTCAGTGGTCTGAATTCCCTAAGGACCGCCTCAACATCGATGGGTACTATCATCCCAGCGGTGATCGACAGGGTAGTGTAAGTTAACAAGAATATATTTCTGGTCGAGATAACGTCGCTGAATAATATGACTTGGGTAGATTTCTTTCCGTGGAGCCCATTTTATCAAGGGCAATTTTGCTTCTTTTGATGCTTCCGTAGGTTTTGGTTCTGTGGCTCGCAGTTGCTATAGTTACTCGGCTAATGTTGCTCTTTCTTCTAGTTCTTCTCGATTTCGGCGGAAGATGCCAAAGCTATCGATCCACAGCAACGAATTCTCCTCGAAGCTTCATATGAGGCACTTGAAAATGGCGAGTCTATCGAGGTATCTATGTTGATTGAAGCTGACAATAGAACTTTAGCGGGAATTCGCAAAGAAGATATCGATGGCAGCGATGCAGCTGTGTACGTTGGTTCATTTGTCAAAGGTAAGTATGTCCAATCTTTCGGGAAAATCTTGCTAACTTTGGTAGATTACGAGCAAGTCTGTCTCCGGGATCCGGATTGGCAGCCACAGTACGCTGCTACTGGAAACGGCATCGCCATAATGGCAAATCGAATCTCGTACTTCTTCAACCTTCATGGCCCCAGCATGACTATTGATACAGGCTGCAGTGGCAGTCTTGTGTCTGTTCACCTTGCCTCACAGAGTCTTCGGGCAAGAGAGACGTCACTTGTAGGTGTATCTCAGCCATTTCAATTTGTGGATGCTGACAAGTATGCAGGCGATTGCCGCTGGGGCTGGTATGATTCTTACACCCAATACTATGATGCCTATGACAGCTCTTAATTTCCTAAGCCCCGATGGTAAATGCTTCACTTTCGACTCTCGAGCCAATGGTTATGGGAGAGGCGAGGGTATCGGTGTTGTTGTCATGAAGCGTTTATCAGATGCCATTCGCGATAACGATACTATTCGTGCAGTTGTTCGAGCAACAAGAGTCAATCAAGACGGCCACACGACAGGTAAGTCGTTTATTCTTTGATTCTTAGCAGCAGCACTAATTGATAAAGGCATTACCCTTCCAAGCAAGGAGGCCCAAGTCGCCAACATCAATTCTGTTTACGAGTCTGCCGGCCTCGACATCAGTCAAACAGGTTATGTTGAGTGCCACGGCACGGGGACAAAAGCTGGAGATTGGCGCGAACTAAAGGCTATCTCTGAGTCACTTTGTACTGTTCGAGATATCGATAATCCCATTGTCGTCGGCTCGATCAAGCCCAATATTGGTCATCTCGAAGGCGCCGCTGGTGTAGCAGGCCTCATCAAGGGTGTTCTTACTCTAGAACATGCCAAAATCCCACCCAATATCAATTTCGAAAAGCCCAATCCTGATATTGACTTCAAGGAGTGGAAGGTCAAGGTTTGTAGGAGCATCTTATTGTATTCAATTATCGCTAACAGTCACAGGTACCAACCGAAATGCTCGACTGGCCTATCTCGGGCT